ATGTAAACTCAATGCGTTATTGAAATCAACATCTTTGAGAGAAATACAATAGTTTGGGTAGTATGTGAAGAGGAGTTTTGTATAGGCTAGGTTTTCCGCTACTATACCAAGATTTCCTTCTCTTGCATTAATAAATCTTTCATCAGATAGATTTATTACTATTGGACAATTGATTCCTTCTTTAAAAGTCGATTTGACTAATATTTGGATTCCTCCTACATGAACATAATTCATTTTTTTCCTTTTTCTTTCAGGAATTTTCCTAAGAATTTGATCTATCATAGGTTTTGTTAACATGTTTAGTTTATGTTTTCCTGTTGTTCGAGTAATTTCTATTACTTTTTCTATTTCCTGATATTCATGATAGGAAATTTTGTCTCTTACAAACATTCTTTGCATTAACTACTTAATAGATTATCTTCTGTTTTAAGATTTAATTTTAATCCTTGGATTTTTCTAAATGTCTCTCCATCAAAGGTTGCTTTTAAAGCACATCCTCTGTGATCTTCTTCAATTTCTAGGATTTGAACTGAATCTTCTCTTTCTTGAATTTCTTTACTCATCTAGTCAGAATCTTCTGAACTGGTTGAGTATTCTTCATAGATTTCATCAAAGAAATCTTCACTTCCTATTGATTTTATTGATTTGAGATCAGAATCAATCTCTATTCTATCAAATTTTGAGATTTTTACTCTTCTCTTGTTACATTTGTAACTTTTATGGCCTTCTTCTCCACAATTGTAACACTTGCAATTTTCTGCAGGTTTTGTTTTTGTGAAACCTTTTTTCTTTTTATAGTATTTTTTTCTAGGTACATAATCTTTTCTAGAAAAAATATTTCTTTTCATTAAACCCTTTTTAAGTTTTCTTTTCTTATAAGGTTTATCATTACATCCGCATTGGGTGGTTGCATTTGTATCTAGACAGTATATCTGTGTATTTATTTTTTTAGCTTTTCTTTGTATATTATGTGACATACATAATTGACCAAGTCTATTTTTTAAGAAGCCTATTCTTTGACCAAGAGTATCTCCTTTTTTATTTTCTTTTTCATATTCTTCTCTGAAATATTTTGCCCAAAAGCCTGGTAAGTTTTGATAGTATTTTTCAAGGTATGACACCATTTCTTTTTCACTATCAAAGATTTTGTAGTAATATTCTTTGAATTCATAAGTGTATTCTTGAATATAACTCACTTTACAAATTTGTAATTTTTCTAATTGCTCCTTAGCAATTGTTCTTGTTCTTTCTCAATTATCTGGAGGACTTCCTTGTCCACCAAAGAATTCATTTGCAACATATTGCTTAAGGTTTGTGATACCTTCTTGTAATGACCTTTTTAATCCTTCTAAGGTATCATTTTTTATTATTTTTTCTGAATCTTCTATTAATCCAGAAAACCAGTCGTTTACTTTACCTATAAAGGTATTTATCATGATGATGTATTTTTCTTCATCAATATAATTTCCTTTTCCTAATAGGAAATATAATAACATAATTTGGGACCATAAATCTAGACTTGTTTCTGGATCTCTTTTACAATCTAGATCTAGAAATTGGGTTTCAATATCTCCTGTTGGAAGTCTATTAGGCATGAACCTGGATTTATATAAAATTTTTGTTCTTTTTTGCTTTATTTGTAAAATTTTATCATTCTTTTCTAGCTCTTGCCATTCTTCTTTAATAGATTTGGATCCATCACCATCTTCAAATCTTCCTTGGGATCCTCCTGTTTCCCCTTTATTCATAAACACTTTTAATTCATGTTCTGAAAGATTAACATCTTCCTTAGCATATACTAGCTCGTCTAGTTATTCATTCATCCTTTTGTAATTCTGTTTCTAATTCAACAGATTTATTTTCTGTTATTTCTAGATTTTCTTTTTCAATTTTTTGTTTTTCTAGGAATTTTTGGATTAATATTTCATCCATACTTCCTTTTTTATAAGTATTTTTACTTGCAAATTTCTTTGCTAATAATTCTTTTATGTATTTTTGACTTATTCTTTTGTCAAATTTTTCCGTTTTTTCAATTATGTTTGTAATTCTTCCTGGAAGATTTTCTTTTATAGAAATTATTTCTATTTCTATCATTATAACCTTAAAGATAATTGTTTTTGACTTTCTATTAAGTCTTTTAATAATTCAGAGATTTCTTTTAGGCTCATTTTTTATTTATTCTGAGAAGTAATAGTCAGAAGTATCCATCATATCTATAATTTCTTCTGAAAAATTATAATAATTCATATCTTTCTTTCTCAGATTTATTTTTTAAAGTAATTATGGTTACTATTTTCCTTTTTAGATAATTTTTACAATCACACCATACATATTATACTTATACTCACAACATATATAGAAAATACTTTTCCCTGGCGGGAAAAGTTACTACTCACTACTCATACTCTCGAAGGTACCTAACATTTTTCTTTCAAGTCTTTTTCTCTCAGAAAATGTAGTCTGCCTTTAAAGTATATATATATATATTGTACGTGCAATAATGACAGACACCTTTTAACATCAGAAAATTCAAATTTAATTAAATTAAAAGTTATACAAATTTAAGTAAAAATGACTAGATTTTATAATCTCAAAAAATATATTACGTTATTTTATTCACGGAAAATAAATATTTTTTTAATATTTATGTTTCATTCTTGAATCTTAATAAATTCAAAACTTTAACTTAAATGTATATTTTTTTTTGAATTTGGGTTTAACGATAAAAAAATATCTCGAAATGTTTTTAAAAAGTTAATTGACAGATTAAGGTTTAAAATTTAAATTTAATACTAAAGAATTTTTGAGATGGTTACAATGTTTCCACTTTGTCTTGATTGTAGAAATTTTAAAATTTCAATTTTTTTACTAGATAAACATAATATTGATAGATAAAGATTTAAATTTTTTAATTTAATACTTATAATTTCAAAGATGGTTATAACTTTTCCTGTTTATCGTAATTGAAGAAGTTTTAAACTACAAAAAATATCTTTTTTAAAAAAAAGTTATTCTAATCAAATATAAGTAAAAATAAAATTAATTTTAGGACTTTAACATATTTTAGAAATCAAGCAAGTTATACGGTAAAAATTATTATGAACAAAGAGTCATTTCAAAATACAAAATCCTATGAAGAGTAATAAAGCAAACATGGTCTTAGGATCTTATTGCACCAAATATGTGCATGTGCCATGTCTGGTATTATGAAAATGATGTTATATAAATATTAATTTAATGTGCTCAAATAAATAAGTTATTGATTAGTATTATTACTTTTAAAATATACATTACTAAATAGACAATAAATCTTTATTTTTTAAATTTAAAATATTATTATAATTTAAAATAGTCGCGCAACGCGCGAGTACGTATACTAGTATACATATAGGTGTGCCACGCAGGATAATAATACTGAGGATATAAGACTTAATTGTCCAAGGAAAAATAAGTGTCTAAAGTTAGATGATAGGGGCAAATATATTTAAAAAGTATGACAAAGTACAAATATAACCCTTTTTTCGAGAGTACAGGGGAAAATATGACCATTTTCCGTATTTTTTTATAACACACTAATTTAATGCGCTATATAAGTTTCATCAACATAACAATCCCAAAGCCTAGTTCCTTAATAAATTTTATATAACCCACTATATTAGTACCCCGCTTGTCGTAATTTACGTGACACGTTTTGAAATTTTGAAATTCAAACAAGTTTATTTTTTACTATAAATTTTTCATATATCTTTTAAATATTTTGAATTGTCAATTATTATTACTTATAATACTTATTGTTAGAGTTTTGCCCTGATTTTCTTACCATATTTGAGTTTTATTTTTTCTCTTGAAGAAAAATTAAAGCATTACAATAATTGTTTTAGTTTTCCGAAAAAATAATAATATAATTTTCTTTCATATTTGATTTTTTTTTCTTAGGGGGAAATTTTGGAGATCTATAAATTGAAGATCTCATTCTCATAGCATAACACAATAGAATCCACAATGTATGTATTCCTTTAGAAATTTTTATTTATGAGAAGATTTTCTCTCTACATGCTTTTAATTAGTTTCTAATTATGTAGGCCAATTGGTCATATCATATAATAATTTTATGTCTTTTAGTATAATTTTATGGTTCTCTAATTTATGGACATATGATTTACAATTGTAAGCTTTCGCATGACGTCCTAATTACTTTCGAATTCAACATATTTTACTTAATTTACAAATATATAAATTTTATTTTAAAAAATTTAAAAATTTTATGAGCAAATTCTCGACCAAATAGGATACATCATATAAAAAATTTAGATGAGTTTTGTAAAAGGAACTCTTACACTCTGTTTGGATCATTGTTACCCATTGTATTGTATTGTATCGTTACTATACCTACAATGTTTGTTTTGATTGTTACTTAAAATGTATTGTATTGTATTGTTAAATTTCGTTGTTACGTAACAATGAAAACCCCTATTTTATGGAACAACCGATTTGGTGCGTTTTCTATTGTTACTTAATTTCTTTTTCCAATTATATCTTTACATAATATTTCAAAATACTATTTTACCCTTTACCTTATATTATTTAATTCTAGTCAAACCTCTTATCCTAGAATAATTAAGGATATTTTAGTAAATTTATAAATTACAATACAGAACTATACAATCAAACCAAACAATTAATATGTTATTAAACAATAACAAACAATATAGTCTAGCCAAACATTGTATCTACCATATAATACAGTACAATATAATACAATACATTATGAAACAATGGGTAATAATAATCCAAACAGAGGGTTAAAGGAAGTCAAAAAAGGTAAACCAAAAAAATGGTAAAAAGTAAATTGAGTCACATGATTTAGGAGTCCCACGAATTATCCAAAAATCTACTTCAATTCCTTACATTATCACAATACAATCCCATTCAAAAAGACAACTCTCTTATCAACTTTTTATATAATAAAATATCATCGAGTCTCTTTCTCTCTTTTTATTATCTGTATATTCCTTGTCAATTCTTCATCAGATTTCACTGTTGCTGTTGAGAAACTACACAAAATTGAATGGCTAGACTCGAGGAATTACCAATTCCAATTTTCTCTGATCTTGAACCTGTTTATGGTAGTGGATCACAGCTTGAAGAGGCTCAACTTCGATTCAAGAATTTGAAAGCCAAGTTTATAGACTTATTTGGCCAATCCCCTCATGTCTACGCTCGATCCCCAGGTCAATTACACTTTCAAAATCTCAACTTTCTTTTTTTCTTTCTTGTGGGTTTAATTCAAAATCTGGGTTTTCAAAATCTTGTCGGTTATGTTCAAAATTTGAACTTTAATAGTATGGTATATTCGTATTTCAACTATGAATCTTTGTTGTTGTTCAATTATGGTATGCAGGGAGAGTGAACCTGATTGGAGAACACATAGACTATGAGGGTTACTCTGTTTTGCCTATGGCAATTCGGCAAGACACAATTGTGGCTATACGGAAACACGACTCTAATGAACCTCAGAAGCTTCTTAGAATTGCCAATGTGAATAGTGATAAGTACTCCTTGTGTACTTACCCTGCTGATCATCTGCAGGTATCATAACTTTGACTATGTGCTTTTGGTTTGTGATCTCTGATGTATTTGAATTGACAAGGCTGCTAAAATATTTTTTTACTCTGAAATATCTTTTTGGGTGTTATCATTGGTGAGAGAGAATATGGAATTTGCTTGAGATTCTTTCTGTCACTTTTTTCATCATTATTTTGCTTTACACCACATACATATAAAATGTTGTGACATCCTTCGAGCTTTATAGCCTATTTGGCCGATCTTTTAAAATCAACTTATTTTTGAAAAATATTTTTTTTCGAAGTACTTTTGGTGAGAAGTAGTTTGTATTTGGACAATAAATTTTAAAAACACTTTTGAGCAGCCGTTGGTGTTTGCTCAAGCTTTTAAAAGTGCTTTTAAGTGTATTTTTCTCACAAGTATTTTTCAAAAACATACTTTTATGGAAAAACTAGTTTTTTTTTAGCTTCTGAAAAACAACTTCTATTATTCCCCAAAAGCTTTTAAGAGATAACTGAATCATGATTCTTGAGTACTGCAATTTCAGTTTTTTTTTTTTTTTTTTTTTTTTTGTCAATAACCTTTTGTCTAACTTTTCAGGAGGTTGATCTGAAGAGTCACAGATGGGGTCATTATTTCATTTGTGGGTAAGACCTTACTTTCTTGATTTCTTCATCCAAGATCCAGAGAATCAGATAGTATTGAGATGAACTACAAGTTGACAGACATTAAATTTTACTTCATTTATCATGCTTTATGTGAACTCTTGGGAAGTATGTGCTGTGAGAAGAAAGTTAAAATATAAAAGTTTAAACTATTCATATATGCATGTCATAGTAAAACTGCTAATCTGTGTGTGCAGGTACAAGGGTTTCTATGAATATGCCAAGTTGAAAGGGATAGATGTTGGTGAACCTGTTGGACTTGATGTTATTGTTGATGGTACAGTTCCTACAGGTATATATATATGTCTTCCGATCTTGAATACTGTCCGGTAGTAATTAAGTAGTCCGCTTTTATGGCTTATTTCATGGTTTCCATGTTTTCTGGCTTTAGGGTCTGGACTTTCGAGCTCTGCAGCATTTGTTTGCTCTTCCTTTATTGCTATAATGGCTTCAATTGGTGTTAACATGCCCAAGGTAGTATCCTTACCATATTATGCAAAGAATTTATTTTCTTTTCTAGCTTGGTGTTAGTTTGGTAGTTCTTTGCTTTTGTGTATAATTAACCTAATGTTTGGTAATTAAGTTTTGTTTAGCTTATTGTTGAGTTTAATGTGAATTTTTATGTTGTATAAAATTAGTCTTTCTTTTGTGTTTTCATAGGCTAAGTTTCTGCAATACTTCTTTTAAGTGATAAAGCTAGCAATAAATCTAGAGACAAAACTTCAAAAGTTATGTTAGGGAAAAAACTAAAAAATTAAATTAGAGACAACTTCAAATTTTGTTAGAGCAAAAAATTTTCAACTTTTTCTTGATATTTGTTTAATTCAGTTTGTCGCTCCTTTTCTTTTGGTTGGGGGTTTCTTTTGTTATAGGTATTAATATTGTTAGATGACTATAGTAATGATTAAGTTGATTTTTGGTTAAAATGAAGTGAAAACAAACCTTTTGAAGTAAACAAGTTGTTTGTTGAAAGTTTTAATTCAACTGTTTTGAATAAACGAATAGTTTCAAAATATCAATAAAAGAACAGCAAGCAAAACCTGCTTGTCATGGTTGACCTTAAATACTCGTGCTGCCGCGGTCGGAAAGATTCTGTGTTGAACCTGCTTGACGAAAAATCTAGGTCCGCCACTACTGTGGCATCCATCTATGGCTGTTTGATCGGCTTCCACCCTGAACATTTGTTTTGGATCTGATTTCTTTTCCTCTTTAGAAGTTTCTTTGTAAGGAGTACAACATTAAGATGAATGAATTTGTCATGACTAATTTCTTTCCTAATTTGTTGAAACTATCTTCCTTTTCTTCTATCTTCATTTGCTTGAGTTTGCAAAATTTGAATCTGTTGGTAGTGTTAGCTGTATCTCTGTTTTGGCCTAGAAGTGATAATATTTTCTCTGCAGAAAGAAATTGCTCAACTCACATGTGAGTGTGAAAGGCACATCGGGACTCAGTCTGGTGGAATGGATCAGGTAATGCAATTGAACACTAAATCTTGGTTACTTAGTTACAGCTGGTCCAATGCAAAGTGCAGTATATAATTAGTTATCCTAAATATTGATGTTTTCCTTATTCTTCTCGTGAATTTCAATATAATGTGTCTCTTTGCTAGTTCAATATAGCAATGCAGACAGTCTTGACTTAATATTTGATTCTTAAAGGCATCAATCGATTATTTTGTGCAGGCCATCTCTGTTATGGCAAAATCTGGGTTTGCTGAGCTGATTGATTTCAATCCTATACGTGCAACTGATGTACAACTGCCTGCTGGTGGAACTTTTGTGATAGCCCATTCATTAGCTGAATCACAAAAAGCAGTTACTGCTGCAGTTAACTACAATAATCGGGTTGTTGAATGCCGACTAGCTGCTGTAAGATTTAGCACCCTTTGTTTGATAAATTTCTGATGTTAGAGCAAAGAGGATGATTTTCTTATCTCTCTGATCATAATAGTTCTAATTATCTGTTTCTCAATTGGTTTCTTGGGGTTTTTAAATTTCTTATGACATCTTATTTTAGTATCTTGAAACTTGAAGCTAAATACTTAGTCGAGTGGTTCAGACATAACCATTATAAAAAATAAAAATTAAACTACCTAGATTTATGACTTATTCCTTAATTTACACTTTGCTTAGTGGTTCATTAATATCTTTTACAAACTCAATGTCCTTAGGAGACTGTAGTCCTTGGAATTAGTGTTGTCAAAGGCGAGCTTAAGCTCTAAGCGAGGCTCAAAACATGGTGAGCTCTTCGCCTCGCTTTATGTGCACTTCAGTGTCGTCATCAAGGTTCTAAGGCATATTTATCCTTGCCAATAAGCATCTGTTGAAGATGCGACACTAAACAATTGATATTTCACGTTATCATAAAAAAAATTCAATTTTTTTGTTCATATAATTGTCATTCATGTTTATAATTATTAGTTTTGGACTAAACACAAATATTTGTTTTTTTTCTCCCTTTGCACCTTTTTTCATTAAGGCCATGCTTTATTTGTGCTTTTCGCTTAAAGCCCCAATGGACCTTCGAACATTTTTGCGCTTTTCACCTTTGATAACACTCCTTGGAATAATGTAGAGTATGTAGTATCCATGGCAATAGTTCTGAGTTCTAAATGGTTTAGATGGAAAGACAATTTTGGCATTGTGCGTGTGGTAGTAGAACTAGCCTTTTGAGATCCATGGGGAGAGCATGGTATATTTTATTTGCTGGAGTTGCAGGAAAACCATGCTGTTGACTATTTATTTGCTTTTTGTGCAAAACTAACAAAGATGCAAAATGCTTCTACTATCTGCTGCATGTGTTTGGTGCTTTATCAATTCAGCCCTTGTGAATCTTTGTTTCGTGGTCTGTTAACTATTTTCTAGTCAATTTTTTGACTGAATATGTCAGCAACTTACACGTTCTTGTTTACATATATATTTACATAGATAGATATTGCCTCTTGAATGAGCATTGCAGAATAACCTACTTGGATATGCTAGTTTTCCCCTTTAGATGCTGATTTGAAATTTTGCAGATTGTACTGGGTATTAAACTGGGGATGGAACCTAAGGAGGCGATCTCTAGTGTAAAAACTCTTTCTGATGTTGAAGGGTTGTGTGTATCATTCGCTGGTACACACAGTTCTTCTGATCCTATCCTTGCTGTCAAGGTATGTACTCTATAATCTCGGTTCATTCCCCTCTTGCCTGACATCTGTCTTTGTGATTCGATTTCATTAATTACTAGTTTGCCTCCCTGCCCATTGGGTGATATCTGTAATTGCCATTTTCTTCAAGTTGAATAATCATGCGTAGGTGGATTGGATTTTCACTTTGTTTTTCTTTTTCATTCTCTCAGTATTAGTTTGTGATTGTGGTCCATGTTATGTTTGTATTCAAATAGGGGTTTGTGCTTTTACTCTTGTTGTTTGCTTATATTACATTTATCTGTAACAATTCCCACCACTCCTACAGGAGCTATTGCATGAAGAACCATATACCAGCGAAGACATTGAGAATATCACCAAGGAAAAGCTGGAAACAATCTTTGCCGCCTCACCAACTTCCTTGGATGTGCTTCGTGCTGCTAAGTGTTACAAGTTGCATCAGGTCAGTACGTGCTTTCATACCTATTCCGTTTTCGTTTTTTCTTTGTGTTTCCATCTTCATACTGGGCCTTTACCTGTTTCAAATTGATTTGCTTCAAATCCTTTGTCCATTTTATTCCTTAGAAAGATGTTGACAATTAATAAGTTCTCTTGCATAGGCCTTTTATTATTTCCACACATACCTTTGCTTGTACTTCTTTAATAAAGAATTGTAGATGTTTGTTCCTTTAGTCATGTCTGCTTATATTGATATAATCATTAAATTGTCATTTCTTATTGCATAACATCAGTATCTTTTACTCCACTTGAATTTTCACAAATTAGTGATCTTCTTTCACCTTTCAGAGAGCTGCCCATGTATATTCTGAAGCCAAACGTGTGCACGCTTTTAAAGACACCGTATCGTCAGAATTAAGGTCTGTCATGGAGGATGTGCTTTTCACCGGGCTTTTCCCAGCTTTTCTTTTCGTCATACTTAAAATCGTAACAAATTGGTCATTGCAGTGATGAAGATATGTTGAAGAAGTTAGGTGACCTTATGAACGACAGTCACCATAGCTGCAGCGTCCTTTATGAGTGCAGGTAAAACTCCAGCTTTACTGTTGGACCTTATTACATGGAACTCCCGTTCTTTTTATAATATTCCCCCCTCTGGATTGAAATATCTTAGTCGATGAGTTTCAATTATTTGTTGGAATCAGTTGTCCAGAATTAGAAGAACTTGTGAAGATTTGTCGAGATAATGGTGCTCTTGGAGCTAGGCTTACAGGAGCCGGATGGGGTGGTTGTGCAGTGGCTTTGGTGAAAGAGAGTCTTGTTCCACAATTTATACTCAATTTGAAGGTTAATTTCATTGTCATCTCTATTTAACAAGTCATGAATATTTTATCGTAATCGTTATGCTCTAACCAAACCCATAATATGGTGGTTTATTATGTTTCAGGAGCAATTTTATCAATCAAGGATTGACAAAGGAACCATCAGTAAGAATGATCTTGGCTTGTACATTTTTGCATCCAAGCCTTCAAGTGGTGCTGCTATTTTCAAATTTTAGGTCTTGTTATCCTAGTTAACTTTTATTACCTTCAGCATTTTCAGTCCAAAAATCAAGGTGAATTATGAAGTTTCTATCTTATCAATAATATAAATAAAAATAAAGGTAAATTATGGTACAAATTGTACACTTGATGAAACTCATTAGATATTTTTTAATTTAATAGTTACATGCTTTAGCTCCATCAGTGGTTGCTTTGTCAACATTTGTGAATTAGGAGTTTGTTGATCATGTGATTGAGGATGTTTGACTATGTGTTGTTTTGATGGTTACTTAAATTGTATTGTTAAATTTATTCTTTATTGTTGGGTAACAAAGAGTCATTTTATGTTATACCTAATTTGATATGGTGGTATCATTATTTAATTTTTATTATATGTTCTTGTTTATTATTTAACTAGGTTACTAGACTTATTCGCACTTCTCACGGTAACTCAGGATCTCATTAAGATTATGAATGATCATTTTTAATATTTGAATTTTAGAAATTTTGTATTATCATGTATATTAATAACTTTAAAGATTGTGAAATTCTTACTTTTTAATGAATTTTATCTTCTTACATATTTTTAATTATAATATTTATTCTTTGATATAATTGACTTTTCATGGATTAGTCAATATCACATTTTCTATTGTTTTGTTCATGTGCATGCAAAGTATAAGATAGAAAAAAACTACATGAATGTGTCATAAAAGTCAAAATAATTACATGTTCATATCTCAATCCAAAGTAATTCAAGAATGACTCATTCTCTCAAAATAATTACAGCTCATACCCCCATTCATTAAGGCTGATAAATTTCGCTTAGCTGATACTAAATTAGTATCATACAGTGTATTGGTATCACTAAGGTTGATAATTTCATCAATTGATACTAAATAAGTGTGTGCTAGTCAATATCACATTTTCTATTGTTTTGTTCATGTGCATGCAAAGTATAAGATAGAAAAAAACTACATGAATGTGTCATAAAAGTCAAAATATTTACCTGTTCATATCTCAATCCAAAGTAATTCAAGAATGACTCATTCTCTCAAAATAATTATAGCCCATACCCCCATTCATTAAGGCTGATAAATTTCGCTTAACTGATACTAAATCAGTATCATACAGTGTATTGGTATCACTAAGACTGATAATTTCATCAATTGATACTAAATAAGTTTGTGCATATATATATATATATATAAATGTTTCTTGTTCAGAAATTACTCATTAGTCAATGATACTATGTCACGATCCAGACCATCGTGATTGGCACCCACACTAACCCTCCGGTGAGAGAACCATTAATACTAATTAGCTAACCATAAAACTAAGCATTTAAAGATACAGAAGTAGGTTTAAATGCAGAATTAAAGTAGAGTTTCCATAAACTCTAAAAGTCTAACAAACGATTGCGGAAATAACGCCTAGAACCTGAAAGTCAATGTACCAAAACTCTAAACAAGGAACCATTGTCTAAAGAAGTAGGTACAACCCAAACTAAACAAGAGAATTATCTAAAGAACTAGTCTAAGTCCGAAGAAATGGACTAAACAAAAGGAGAACTCAAGGTAGCCCGGAAGAACTGGCTCACCCTTGAATTCGAAACGATCACTGATGTTCTAATCGAGGTTTGTCAATAACCGCTTGAAGATGCTCTATACTCCACAAAAGAAAGAGCAAGTGCAGTATCAGTACACAACCACAATGTACCGGTAGGATCACACGGCTATCCCATTAAGTGGAACATACATTAGTCATTACAACAAAATAATAACATGCATATATCGAACAAATACGATATCAACATCTTTTACGAACAACGAACAATTTCACATTTCTCAAGATATACAGTTATGTCAAATCAATGGTCCTCTCATGGGACTCACACCCAAACTGTTAGCGTACCGGTACGTGGTATCCGATCCAATGTTTATGCCAGAATATGGCAACCGATCTCATGTTTATGCCGGAACGTGGCAAACGATCCAAGTTAGTTTGTTGGAATGCAACACTCGATCTATTCAAGAAGCCACAATCACAATCACAAGTATATTCTCAAAAATCATACAATCAAGTAATGATTCATGACATTCATCATTCATCTATCCTCATTTACAATTAGTGTGATTAATAATGCAACATCCGCATATATACATGTATTATAATGAAGCAAGAACAAACATACATCACACATTATGAAATCACAACCATCACCTACAACCAACGATACTCAGAAACTACCCGTTCACGCAAAGATCAGTTTCAGGAGTTCTACTAACCCAAATTCAATTCTGTAAAGTCGTACGGGTTCCTAAACGTCTTAACTATCTACTCATGTGATCAAATTCAAAATTAGATCACTCAATTTTTACCATATTTCCCTAGACCTTACTGACTCCGATTTCATTAACATCTGGACTAGGTTGGGAAATTCCAAGTTATTACGAAAAAGTTTTCCGGCCCAAAATTTTTCCCCGTTGGCTTTTCTGTAACGACGGAAACAGATCGTTACAATAGATACCAATTTATCCATCATTCGTCCCCGAGTGACAAACTTAGGAAAAATAGGCTAAAGAAAAAATGTAGTAGTACCTGAATCGACGAACAACTGGGGATACTTGTCTCGCATGTCTTTCTCGATTTCCCAAGTAGCTTCTTCAACAGGAAGATGCTTCCACTGAACCTTCACAAACTTAATCTCCTTGGTCCTAAGCTTACGCACATCACGATCAAGAATTGCAATCGGTTCCTTCTCATACTGAAGGTCTTTGACTAACACAAATGAGTCCCATTTTATGATGTAATCCCCGTCACCATTATATCTCTTCAATATGGACACATGAAATACCGGATGAACTCCCGATAGGTTAGGAGGTAAAGCCAATTTATAAGCCACTGGCCCCTACACATTCAAAAACCTCAAAGGGACCAGTGTATCGCAGACTGAGCTTGCCCTTCTTGCCAAATCTCATCACCCCTTTGATGGGTGATACCTTAAGAAGGACATTCTCACCAGTCTGAAATTCCATGTCTCTTACCTTATGGTCTGCATATTTCTTCTGTCTATTCTGGGCCACTAAAATCTTAGCTTGGATGCTTCTCACCTTATCTTAAGCATCCTTCACTAAATCAACCTCAAATATTTCACATCTCCAGCCTCGAACCATCCTATGGGTGATCTACATCGCCTCCCATAAAGTGCCTCAAATGGTTCCATATCAATGCTGGAGTGATAACTATTATTATATGAGACCTCACACAATGGTAGGAACTTATCCCAATGCCCTCCAAAATCAATCACACATGCCCTCAACATGTCTTCTAACACTTGAATAGTCCTCTCTGACTGCCTGTATGTCTGTGGATGGAAAGTTGTACTAAAAGTCAGTTGTGTGCCCAATTCATCATGTAACTTTCTCCAAACTTGGAGGTAAATTGCGTACCACGGTCTGAGATGATAGAAAGGGGCACCCCATGCAACCTCACTATCTCTTTCACATAAACCTTAGCCAATTGTTCAGCATTATAATCTATTCTTACCGGAATAAAATGGGTTGACTTTGTCAATCTATCAACTACTACCCAAATAGAATCAAATTTCCCCAAAGTCTTGGGAAGACCAACCATAAAATCCATGGCTATCCTTTCCCACTTCCATTTCGGAATTGACATTCTCTGAAGCAAACTTGCATGCCTTTGATGTTCATACTTTACTTGTTGGCAATTTTGACACTTAGCCACAAATTCCGCTATGTCTTTCTTCATGTCCAGCCACCGATAAATTCGTTTCAAATCTCGATACATCTTGGTCACATCCGGATGAATGGAATATCGCGATCCATGGGATTCTGTCAACAATTTCTGAACCAAGTCATCAACTCGAGGAACACAAATCCTTCCTTTAAAACGGAGTACACCTTTCGCATCAAGAGTGGTCTCTCGTGCCTTACCAATAGCAGTCTTATTCTTAAGCTCGTTCGAATTTTCATCCTCAAATTGTTTGGTCTTGATCTTCTCAATGAACATGGCCCTAACTTCAATGCTAGCTAACACCCCGCCTTTTTCTGAGATGCCCAATTGCATGAGCTTAGACTCTAAGGTCTGAATTTCCTTAGCCAAAGGTCACTTAGTTACCCTCAATCAAGCTAAACTACCCATACTCACCACTTTTCGACTCAAAGCGTTTGCCACTATATTAGCCTTACCAAATGGTTTTGAATGGTCATATCATAATCCTTAAGTAGCTCCATCCACCTTCTCTGTCTCAAATTCAGATCCTTTTGAGTGAACACATGCTGCAAACTACGATGATCAGTAAACACCTCACACTTAACACCATAAAGATAATGCCGCCAGATCTTAAGAGCAAATACTACCGCTGCCAACTCCAAATCATGCGTTAGATAATTCCTCTCATGCACCTTCAACTGCCACGATGCATAGGATATGACATTCTTATCCTGCATCAATACCGCACCCAAACCAAAATGTGAAGTATCACAATAAACTATAAAATCTTTACCTTCAACTGGTAGTGCTAGAATAGGCGCGGTGGTCAAAAGAGTTTTGAGCTTTTGAAAACTCTCCTCACATTTTTCATCTATTTAAATTGTATCTCCTTTTTGGTCAAATTTGTCAAGTGAGTGGCACTAGAATCAAAGTTCTTCACAAATCGACGATAGTAGCTAGCGAGCCCCATAAAACTCCTAACTTCTGGGGATCTACCATTACTCCTTAACCGCCTCAAACTTTTGGGGATCTACCATTACTCCTTCCTTTGAAACTACATGCCCCAAAAATGCAACCGAAGTCAACCAAAATTCACACTTAGAAAATTTCGCATGCCACCTTTGTTTCCCAAGAACACCCAGAACAATACGAAGATGGTCGGCATGCTCTTCCTCACTTTTTGAATAGACCAAAATGTCATCAATAAAGACTATAACAAATGAGTCAAGAAATGGCTTGAACACCCATTCATCAAACTCATGAAAGCTGCATGCGCATTAGTCAAACCAAAAGACATAACTAGAAACTCATAGTGCCCATAACGGGTTCTAAATGCCGTCTTGGGCACATTCTCAGGTCTAATCTTTAACTGATGGTAACTAGACCTTAGATCAATCTTAGAAAAAACTGATGCACCTTGCAATTGGTCAAAAATGTCAT